GTGTGTGTGTGTGTTATATACACAGTCTAGAACGCCTATAGTGAAATCGGCGAGAACCTTTTCATTATGTACGAAGTTTGCTATGTACCTGTTTTAAATACAAATAATATACATGAAAGAATAATGGGGACCTGAAAAATATATTCGCTATCTCCATGTTTTGATTACAAAGATAATTCATAAATATAAGAAAAATTTAGGACCTGAGAAATCTATTTGCTAAGTCTCTGTGTGCTTGTCTATGTAGGTGCTCCATATGTGCTTGGTTGGCTGTGTAAGAGTTCGCTATGTGCGTACTAGACTGTAGTTCAATATTTATTGTTACATCAGAGTCATGTTGTTAGGCGTATCCAGATGCAAGACTGTGTCAGGTGCGCCGAGATATTAATGCTAAGTATTTTTTTCCTTGTGTATGACTATTGTAATGTATTATGCAACTGGCGAAGAATGACACTTTCTCTTTGGCAGAAAGTCAAAGGGGTAAGGGGTTCACGATAGACATGGCGATAACGCAACCCGACCTCCCTACTCTCAACCACTGCTGCCTTTACTTTGTGTACCTGCTGCTATTCCAACTATACACTTATCATGTCTCACATCACCGGCGTCAGAATCGAATCGTGTGTCCACTAATTTATGTCAAACACTTCTTTTGTCTCATATTGTGTTTTTCGCAACCGTAAGATAATTACAACTTGTAATACTTAAATACGGTTTTGAAAAAGAGTTTTGTACACATACTTTTGAGCAATTCTAGAAGCTACCACGACAGAAATTTCTTTTTTTCTAAATTAAAATAAAGTGTTTGATTAAATTTTGCTGATATTGTTAAAAGCAACTGCTGACATGCCACGCCTTTTGGCTGAAGCTGCTGATGGGAAACAATCTATCCACTTGTTACATTCCTTAATATTGCAAGTTGTTCAAATGCTCTAAGCCAGGAAGGTAAATGTTTTGAGAAAACAAAAAAAAAAGAAAGAAAAACTGTTCCATTCATTCTTTTTTTTTTATGTGTCTACACATTGTATCTTTTCTGGAATTTGTACCACATTCAGAATTTGAATTTGGACAAATTAATTCTTCACTGCATACGCGCTACTGATATCACGGATTAAGAAACTGCTGTTTGAAAATGTTGGGCTCAGTGCATCTAAACAGCTGGTGAACGATTATACATGTCGTGTTTTGGACCGTAAAAATCCAGAGCAGTTGGGATGTACAGTATTATTTTTTTTCAAGACTACGAATTCCTTCTCCACGTGAATTGATGTTACTCTCCAGAGAAGTTTTTAATGATTGGGTTTTATGCAAATAATATAATCAATAAAATGCATTTCCTTGTGTTGAGATTTTTTTATTTTATTCCACGTTAATATTTCGTCATAGTCATAGTCACGCTTCTGAGAGTGATTATGTTATGACGTGCGACCTTAGTATGTGTGTGTGTGTGTGTGTGTGTGTGTGTGTGTGTGTGTGTGTGTGTGTGT